CAAAGGAATTTAGCGTGTCCTGAAAAGTGGCGAAAACTTCAGGGTGATTCCGTGCGTGTGGCTGAATCTTGAGTCTCAAGTTTAAAATTTAAGTTAAAAGGAAACGTGTACGTAAGGAAGCTCACTTTTATTCTGTGTTGGTTTACCTCAGTGGCGAGTCGAGTTTGATTACGCTTTTGCCTGCCTACAGGGCAGTTAAACTAATGGGCTAATATGGGATTTTACTACCCCCGCCAAAGTACGCTGTGAAAGGCAGTACGTGAGTCCCTCTCTGCCCACCCCACCATCTTTTCCCCTCCCGCCACTCACGAGGTCAGCTGAAGGTTGAGCCGGTTCTTTGGGGTGGAGTATCCGCTGTGTGAGTGTGAGGTAAAAAACGTTTTAAGGAACGGATAGTTGGTTCGTTGAAACTGAATTCATATACTGTTATACACTGATAAAGGGTCATTCCATGCCAAGTCAACCAGAGCCAAAGCCATGATGTCACCGATTTGGACCAAAGTTGGCGGTTGAGGTGATGCAGCCACACTGTGAAAATTTGAGTCATCATTTGATGACAATTTCAAGGCTAATGTTCCTCACAAGGATGTCATCAAGTCAATTAATGATATTGTTCCCACGCCCATGCAATATGTATAGGAGCTTTGATGAAAATGTCATCAATTTGTGAGGAGATTGTCATTATTTCAAAGTGATCAAAATGTCATCCACGTTTTCGTCATAAAGTGACAACAAATTTTCACAGTGCAGCCGCACACCTGTGTGTTTGGGCTACTATTTGCCTGCTTTTCTGGCAACCACTACCACATATCCTTAGTTGCCAACGCGAGCATGACGCAAGCGGTATTCCTCTTGAAATTCTTCTCCTTCAAAATGTCGTTGCCCCTGTTAGTAAACAAAAACCTCTACCCCCCCCCCCTTTCCGAGGCCGCCTCTGGATCCGCCACTGCCACAGATGTTGAGTAACTGCCCTAGTATGCAGGATGGGACGCAGCCAGCCGCACACCTGTCATGTGTTTGGGCTACTATTTGCCTACTTTTCTGGCAACCACTTCCACATATCCTCAGTTGCCGACGCAAGCGGCTTTCCACCATAAATTTTTAACCAAGACTCTAGTAAGAGTCTAATTCAAAATCCTCGTCTCAAAGTTCATAACTTTTAATAACAGCTTTTAATTTTCAGAGCGTACTTGTAGAGCGGTGTAGTACACTTTACTTTTGGTTACTTGCACTGGGTGAAAAAGATGCTCACTTCGATGAGGATCTTATCGTTCAGCTTGATAATTAGACTTAGCCTTGGAAAAATTTTTACAGAGGAAAACCGCTTGCGTCATACTCGCGTCGGCAACCAAGGATATGTGGTAGTGGTTGCCAGAGAAGTAGGCAATTAGTAGCCCAAACACACAGGTGTCCGGCTGGCTGCATCATCTCCTGCATACTAGGCAGTTACTCAACAGCTGTGGAAATAAGTTGCCTTGTAGGCAACAGCCCGCCGCTCACCAGGTGTTTGGGATACTTTTAGCCAACTCCTCATTGATATATTAGGGCAAGATAAACCGAATGATGTAGTCAAAATTTACATTCGCCATGTTTAAAATCCGAGGATTCGAGCGTGAAGTAACTCGACCTATCAGGGAGTGGCCTCAGATATCGGTCGCTGCCTGTACACGGAGCAGGCGGTCTATGAATAGGGTTGGCTGCCTTTGATGTCACTTAATTCGGGTCCTTCACTGCAAAATCACCATTTTTTGGGTGCACTGTTTTACTTTCCCCCTACAAAAACCGCAAAACCCAAGAACTTCTTGAGATACTTTAAGACAATGAAGTAGGGACCTCAATGGACCTTCAGGACAAAAATTTCAAAAATCGAAGATGGCGTTCGGTGGGAACTACACTGTAAAGTTCACTGTTTCTTCGTTAGAGTGAACTTTCCTATTTTCACATCTATCGACACCAAACCGACGCCATTTTATGCGAAATTTCATTTCCTTTCGAATGAGCACAGAATCACCACTCTAGGTCTCATAGGAGCCAAGATATTGGCACTTAAGTGAAACACTGTTTTTACATTTGGCAAAATAGCCAAAAATGAGGTATGGCTATATCTCCGGAAGTATTGGAAATTGGCCAAAACTATTTTAGGGCATCGATCTTAACACTAATTGACGGCGATCCACCAACTTTGGTCCAAATCGGTGACATCATGGCTTTGGCTCTGGTTGACTTGGCATGGAATGACCCTAAAGGAACTCCAACCCACGATTGGAGCCTGAACGCTATATTTCGGTTCACCTGGGTGGAGTTACACTCTTGCAGGTTACGGAAACGAGGAACCCCCTCGTGACGCTATCTCATCTCTAACATGGTTCTTCAACAACTCTTGTGGGGTGCTGCAATCTACGGATATTTGCCGGTGGGGGCTCGCAAGGATGGTACGATATTCGAAGTTACAAGGCACGCATGACGGCTGACGCGGGTGCGCATCACGCTCAAGGAAGCTTCACTGAAAATCGAAACGCCATGAATATAGCGTCAATTGGTGCAATGCTTTTTGCATCGCACATTCCCATTACCATGCATTGGCATTGGTCATTTTCGGGCGCATTGTACGTTAGGTGCAATATGGCAATGGCATTGCTCGTACTTATGGTGCGATATCTCACTGCATTGCACCATACGTGCTACACTCATAGCGTTTGGAATCTGTGTATGCAGCACCTTTATTTTCTTTTCAAAAATGTAATACAAGGATCGATTATAATGCATACACGCTACTTACTTAAAGTGGGACACAAATAAAATTTTCAACTGTTAGAAATACCAAGTTGAGCATCGACGAATTATCGATGTGCCTAAAAATACTAACCTGTCAGTTGGACCTTAAAGGTGAACACAGGAACATTTCACTGAGAAAACAAATGCGGAGGATTCCGCAAAACATAATGCGGTGTAATTTTCTATCAATTTGACCGCACTAACTGATGCGGAGAAGATTGACTTCATTTACTCATGCGGAGTGTGCCTAACTGATGCGGTCTCAGTTTTGACCGCATTAATTTAGGTGGATTTCAAGATCCCACGATATCTACAGCAGTGGCAACTTCCCTTCCCAGTCCATCCTCAAAGCGGTTACGTTTACTTGGCCATCTCATTTACTTCTTAAACAATATTATTTGGGAAACCAGTACATACCTGTCATGTAGATGTTTGTAAAGCTGAGATGAGCGTAAAGTTAACAGCGATCAGCCTCATTAAAAAGCAGTAGTTTTTTTGATAAAAACCAATGATTGAAAATGCATATTGTTAGAGATAAATTGTCATACAATTTGAAAACACAATTCAAAATTATTTTTATCTTTCAAGTCCTCAGCAATCTTCGGTGAGAACAGCACTGAGGTATCCAATGCTGTCCAGCCCAGGGCAAGGTTGAGGTTAAGTGACCGGGTTGCTTTGGCAGAAATATTTTCAGTACTGCAATATAGAAGCATGTCAACACATGCGAAGCACTACAGTACTACTGCATTTTAGTAATATTCATAATTTTATGCTTTGAAACATCCACAACTATTGAAAATTCGTTATTTTCACACAAAGAAAGTTCAAGACACACACTCTCATAGTGAACAACAAATAAGCCTAACAACAAGAAGATGGTAGTGCCAACCTAAGATCTTGGGAACATGCTAGCGCCAAAGTAAAGCTAACTTTGGATGTATATTAGGGATTTTTAAGGGAATGGTATGTTTATTAAAGCTTAAAATTTGATGAACGACTCACACAAAAGAACAACTTTATAGTTTACTTTCTGACTCATAAGATGTTATTTTCTTATGTTGGCACACCTTTGTTTTTGTTTACCTTATTTATTTTGTTGTTGATTGTGTGTGGCAGTGTCAGAGTATGATTTGAAAGATTATTCCTTTAATAACGTTCTTACAATGGTTTGGAATGATTCAGACCCTGAAATTATGAAATAACCTCAATCAAAGAAATGCTGTAGTGCGTCGTGTGCGTTGACTTGTTCAAATACAGCAGCACAGACAATTCTTCAGTCAAGCAGCCGGCGGGTTTAACCTTACCAGCATGCAGCATAGGCTGGCTCATGGAAACTAGTAATGCTATCACCAAGAAGTTTGAGGCCAAAACTAATTTAAAGTGATGAATAACAATAGTTTGATACTGCATTTGGAACGATATCCAGTGTCAATCAACATTTTATACAGACAAAATTATTATTCCGTGGCTTGCTGTTTCAAACACAGGATATTTACTCATCGCAGCGTTACAAAAATTTACGTCAAAGGTATGTGTTGGTTAGTCAATGATAAGCATCAGAAGTAAATGAGAAGGCACAGTACATGCCATCCTTTTCTGGTTGTTTCGGAAACTTCGGGAAACTTATAGAAAATGCATGCTTATAGAAAATGCATGCTTTACGATCAGGATGTCACGATAAAAGGTTCGCAACCAGGAAAAGAATGAGAAAAGGTGACCGTGGCCCCCTTCTTGTTAAGCTCAGTTTTCATAACATTGCGGGAGAGCTACACGATGTAGGTCAAAAAATAAGCTCGCAAAGTCCTCTTGGTCCATTTGAGACTTAATTAATGCTTTGAAGAAGCCCTCTTTGATACACCTTAAAAAGGCAAGCATTTCGGCTCTCTCTAAACCCAAACAATGCTCTGAAGATAATTGGTTTAAGCTTTAACAAAATCTCTCAAAAAAAAAATAGAAACTAAACGGGGGCTCCGTAAACACGATTCCAGAGTTTTTCTCCATTAAATTTCGGAGCCCAATTTCAAACAGTATGTGACAGTTGATCGAAATACCCGGTTCAAATAGTTATGCGAAACACTATCAAAGGGAACGTGGCGAGTTTCACGTGAGAACAAAATGTGCCGTCACATTCGACAAAATCATTGACAAGTTGCATCCTCGTCCTCACATCCCAAACGGTTTTTCAGATTCGCGAACAGCACGGGGTAGAATCCACGTTCCTTGGCTTTACATAAGTCGCCATCCGCTGCGCAGCACATTGATATGGGCTTTAATAGTCCAGGGCACTGTACTTTGGTCAACGTACAGGTAAGACGGTTAAGTTCTAGAAAGAATTGCCTCGTCGGGTCAGGGCGGGGAAAAACTGGAGCGGGGAAGAACTGGACACCCCACATTTTACTTCAAATGCCGTATGTACTGGCCTGACAACTGTTGTGTAGTGAACCGCTGATGCCACGGAACAACTTTTGATAGTTGTTATTCCTGTGCCTACGGTATTTGAAGTAAAATGAGGGGTGTCCAGGTCTTCCCCGCCCTGACCCTATCATGAAGCAAGATTCTTCGTAATACGAAAAATTTCTTCATAAAACGGAGCAATTCTACAATGCCTTTACAGCAAGAGCTTCGTGGATATTTTTGAGTGCAAATTCACTCAAATAAAACATTTGAAGCCCCTTTTCAACAGTTTTTTTCCAAGCGGGTGGTTGCAGTGACAATGTGGTATTTTCAGGGTTCTCGCTGATATTTCGAGGGCACTAAAAAGTAGCGAATTGGACCGCCTCGGTGTTTTTACCCGAATGTCGGGTGGAGCGTACATGGCTGCTTCTCTGCTCACTCTCACCTCGTGGATGGAGCTCTCGCGTCTGCGCTCCACGGCAGAGGCCCACGACAATCTCCTAGTAAGTTCATTATTCTTCAGGAGAAAAGTGTGAACAGTGCAAGAAAAGTACAACGCAAGGAGCAAACAACTTGAATTTTGGTGTACATTTCCCTTGAAGTAACGTGAAAGAAGGTGAATTTGAAATAATTGTTTACAAAGTTTGACGAAGTTGTTTGCCACTCGGTACACTAGGAAACGTGGACAGCGAATGGTCCACGCTAGGAAACGTGGACCACGGATGGTCCCCACTTCGAAATCTGATAGGCCCATGAGGAGCTCAACGCTGTGAAGTGTGGACCACAGCTTGGCGTGGACCATTCGTGGTCCACCACGTCACCTAGCGTGGACCTGGTCCACACTTGGATTACCAGTGCACAACAAAAACTGTGGGAAAAAATACATGGGGGATCGCAGAAAGTACAACGAGGACTGGCCTTAACTGCACTCGTCATGCCGGTTCCATTGTAATGAACAACGTGAGTTGAACATTGAAAGTACACTCTATTCCTGGTGAAAAACATCCAGGAATTCTTTATGGGTTTGTTGTGGTTAAAAAGCAATGTCATTGGCAGCTCGGGGTCGGAAGTACTGAAAAGCGGTGCCTTGAAGGGCACAAAGATCAAGAGGAAATAACTTCGACCAAATTCAAACACCAACATTAATTGAAATTCTTCAAAATTTAGGAAAATTCATTGAAATTCTTCTTAAAAAAATTGTCAGTAGTCAATCTTAGTAGTTTTTGCCAAAATTCATCAAAAGTTAACTTAAATTCAATGGATTTGTACACTGAAATTCAGTGATTTCCCCATGATAGCAAGGTAGGTGTACGTCAGACCATGTCCTGTCGTAACAGGCTTCGCGATGCTGCGCAAGTATCGACAATCCATGCCTGGCGTATCCACCTACCTTAGCCTGCGGCTCTACACTGTCAGAAAAAAAGTCCGTAAATTTACGGAGAAAGTTACTCTAATTTTGGGAATGGAGGCTCCGTAAATTCTCCATATTTTTACGGAGATTTTCCATTTTTTTAACAGAGATTTTCCCTATTTTTACGGAGCTGTACCGCATTTTTGCAGAAATAAACGCATTTTACCGGTTTACTTCCCTCCTTCCACCTTCGATGTTAATGCAAACAGTGTCCTTTTAGACGACAGTGATATTCTCCAAAACTGTTTGAAGATCCACTTGACCACATGCCATTAGAATCGGATAAATGGACGGAAACCCAAAGGCAAGGTCACTTTAGGGAAGGCGTACTCTTGGAACACCGAATCAGTTGGTCACCCAACCCATCGATAACGTGAATTAGTCTGTTCTTTTTGATAAGTAAGGCTTCTATTTCATTTATATACATAACTTCCATATTTTTACGGAGAAAATCCATAATTCAAAAAAAAACGGAGATCTCCGTTAAAAAAATGGACCAGTCTCCGTTAAATTTCCATATTTTTACGGAGTTTTCTAACAGTGTAGCCTGCCTTAGGCTGTTTTCCTAGACAGACCGTAGAAATGGGCGTAATCCCCTCAAAAATCAGCATTTGGTCACCAAAATCTACTCATGGAACTTAACTTTGGGTCGGGGGTGCGAATGAGTTCTATTTTCGTCATCAGCAGCCTCAAAAACGTAGGAAAAGAAACGACACGAAACTTGACAAAAAGTTGGAAGTACCTAAAAAGTTATCCCGCTTATTAAGTTTTTTTGGGGCTAATATGACCGAATGGATTGAGAGCTGAATTTTGGTGTGCGGCGAGCCAAGGAGTAGTGTATACACACACACACACACACACACACACACACACACACAGAGACAGACGCACAGACAGTCAGACAAAACTTTTCAAACGCACTGGAGTAACGGGCTTCACTATCGCTCAGCCAAAAATCATGCCTCTGATTCCAGGTGTCGGTGAACGCGATGGACCGCACTCACAAAGACCCGTCGCCATCCGACTGGTCCCCCGTGCCGAGTCTCCTCGCGCGCCTGGGCTTGACTTTCCTCCTGGGCTCCACACTCTGCATGTGCAGCGCCTGGGTAGTCATGGGCTTTGGCGCGTCTCATTGGAGCCACCTGCCCGCCTACGTGTACCAGAGCACCGTTGCCCACCTTGTCACCGTTTCACAAGTGTGTGACTTCCTGCGACTGAGGGATGTGGCACGTCGTCTTCTGAACCTCCTGCAGCAGGTTCAGTATGGCAGTAGAACTTTCGGTTAACCAATCATTGATGAACAAGGTAGGTTTACGCCAGACCGCGTCTTGTCGTAACAGGCTTCGCGATGTCTCGCTGCCCGTTCCTCTCATCCGCGCCTGGCGTACCTACCTTGGCCTGCGGCGCATCGTCGGTTACTTCTAACTTTTTGCATGCTGGGGGGGGGACTCCCCCCCCTCATTCTAGATTGTGTTGCTTCATATACAGATAACACGATCTTAACCCTTGTAACTTTTTAACTTGTCGAGGCTTGGGGGCTCCGCCCCCCAGGCCCCCCTTTCTTCAAGACAGAAGTGATCTGCCTGCAGAAAACTTGATTTTTTGCCGTTTTAGGTGTTTTACGGGTATAAAAATTGAACCAGTTGCAACTGGTTCAGTAGGGTAGTAAAATTTCAGCCAAGGATATACCTGAGCGATTCTCACGTTTCGGGGTAGTTTCGTTTCTTCTGACTCCTGTGCCCAAACGAGCGCAGATATCGACATGGGGTTTGTTTCTGATGTTAGGGAGGGCCATTGCCCACTAAACGCACACATTTCGAAAAGTTCACGTTCGTTGGATTGCTCTACGTAGCGTTTGGAATACCCCAAATGAACTTCCGTGATTGTCCAAAGAGAACATACTCGAACTTTCCGCCCCCAGTGTGGCGGTGTGGTTCGAAAATGCTGCCAACTGTCGATGGGGATTCGAAGCTTGGCATGTCTCGAGCTAATTTCAACCGAAGACCAATATGTCAGACTTCTTTCGTAGGTACTTATGCTGCAACGAAAAATGTCCTCCGTATATTCAATTTCACTACACAAATTTCGAAAAGGCAGCTCTGGACTTCTCCCCAAGCCAAACTTGTAACTTTCCATGACACAAGCCATCAAAGTGGAGTCCCTGGGACATAATTGCATGGGTCGCGGAAATCTAAGATGCTGTACACGGTCTCAAAGCGGGCTAGAGCATTATTAAATGGCGTGTATCAACAATTACCTGTAACTTCCGTGGCACCCTTTACCCAATGTTGCAGCAGCACTAGTTGAAAAAATTTTCCGCTTAAATGTCGGGCTTAGAGTATCATTTGACCCTGGAACGACTTTTAAGCCACAGCAAGCCCGAGTCAGCCGTTAAAGCTGATTTTCACACTTTGTAACTTCCGTGATAACGTAATTTCCGTGATCAAAACACCCACTAAAACGTATGGGAATACCTTATGGCTCATGTTTTTAGGAAGATAGTAAAAGGTCTTTACTATAAATACCATTGCCATAACTCTAGTATCATCCAGGACCCCAATAATCAGAAAAACTTAATTGGATATTTCTCACTTTCGGCAAATCAGAGACGCCAAAACTACCCCGAAACGTGAGAATCGCTCACCTAATGACCCTGCAAAATCTCAGCCGAAACGGCCGAGCCGTTCAGGAGGAGCAGTGTACACCAGGGTTGTTAACGTTAAATCTAAAACGTAACGCGTTAAGTTACACGTTAACCAAGAGACCCGTAACGTTAACGCGTTAAAGTTACGGGTATCAGCAAAAGTTTAACGCGTTAAGGGGAGGTTCTGGTGAAAATGCTATTTTCTCCTAAATAGGTCCCACTGTGAAAATTTGTTAAAAATTTGATGTTTTATCAAGTATTTATTAAAATTTTTCATTGGGGAGGCACATTCTTTGCCCTGAATCCAGTCGCAGAGCCTTTTTCTCCCATTTAGGCTATAACTTTAAAAATCTTCTTGCGCATACTATTTTGTCGTAAAAGGTTGGCTTAGACATTTTTCACTTCTTCGATTCATTTTTTAAAAATGCCGGCATGCCCATCTCAAAATGTCAATTGCATTTTTATTCGCAAGCTTTCTAACCAAGCATTTCACTAAAATTGATCAAAAATGTACAAAATAGACAAATTTTAGGGACTTTTCAGCTTTAAAAGCTAATAATTAATAATATAATGGAAGTTTTGAGCTATGCATGCCGGAATCTTTTGAATATGAGTCGAAGAAGTGAAAAATGTCAAGGTCAACCTTTTACGACAAAATAGTATGCGCAAGGAGATTTTTTAAGATACAGCCAAAATAGGCTCAAAAAGACTCTTCGACTGGGTTTACAGCCTGGCATGTGCCTTCAAAAGTCAAATTTTAGTCTCCCCAATGAAAAATTTTATATTCCGAACAAATAATGACTGTAGGATCCATTAGGAAAATGGCAAGATTTTCACCAGAACCTCCCCTTAACGTTACGCGTAACGTTTAACGGCCGTTAAAGTTAACCCTGCTTCTACTTAAACGATGAAAAATTCTGTTTGTTTACTAAATCTACCAAAAATGCCTCTGTGGGACGATTTAAGAAATGAGTCAGGTTAATTTTTGACTGTTAAAATACGGAAATAAGGAGGTTTAGTTGACCCAAATGCATGTCAAAACCTCTTCCAAGTCATTTTTAGACCGAATATTTTGCATAATTAGTGCCGTAATTTAACTTTAACGTCGTTAAAAGTTACAGGGGTCGTGTAACGTTTACGCGTTAACGTTTCGGACTATCCGAATGTTTAACGAGTTACCGTTAACGTTAAATTAACTTTAACGTTAACGTCGTAACGCCGTTAACCGTTAATTTAACGTTAACAACCCTGGTGTACACACGCACACAGACAGGAAAAGATTTCCAACCCCACTGGAGTAACAGGTTTCGCTATCGCTCAGCCAACAAAGCCTTCCTTTTCTTTGTGTTACGAAGAGATGTTTCGTGGACACTTTTCGGTGTACCAGGTAGCCTCCACTGAAGGCAAGAGGCAAAGGCGATTTCCAGGGTGTTCCTGGGACTAACAGGAAGCGTGCACTGGTGGAACTGAAGCGTACTTTTACGCCTTTCTTCAAGCGTAGTAGAACTACGCTCGGCTTCAAGCGTAGTTCTCCATTTCGCCCCTCTCCCGCCTATCTAAATGCATGGGAGCATTTCTTCTCTACACTGCAAGAAAAAGTGTGAATAGTACAACAAATGTACAACAAAAACTGTACAATAAAAGTACAACAGGGATTGTAGAAAGTACAACGAGAATTGTACAAACCACAACGAGGCCTGCACTGCCCAGCACTCGTCATGCCGGTTCCATTGTACTTTGTACAACAATTGTTGTACTTTGAAAGTACAATAAAAACCTGATAAAAAATTTGCCAGAAATTTGTGTACTTTTGTTGTGGTTATTTCCTGCAGTGTACGCTTGACGCCAAGCGTAAAGTCTTCTGGCGTAGTTGTATGCTTGAATGAAGCATACAACTACGCTCCAGTTTTACCAGTGTGTTTGCGGTGTTTCTCAGAAAGCTGCCTTAGGTAATCAGTGCCTTCACGCTAAGACTTTTTTCAAAACTACGACGGAATTCCGTCGAAGATACGACATGTCAACATATCCGTCGATCTACGACGTGTAGCACGTCGTAGATCGACGAGCAGTGGCGCTCCTTGCGTCACATTTTGGAACTATAGGCGCTCGCGTGACGAACGAGCCAGCCAGCGGCGACGAAGGGGGATCAGTGTATTTTCAAAACTGTTAAAATTGACTTTGCATTACAGAAACGGATTTGTTTCAACAAGACAAACTAAAAAGGTCAACACATTTCATAGGTTTGGATGCACAATGAAAAAGTTTTTGAATTTTAAAGTGCTAAAATGGCCAAAAAGAACATTTGTCACTTAAAAAATTCCATTTCTCATCCAAATCTGAGTTAACATTTTATATTTGTCTTGTCAACGCCTACCTATTTTTGTGAAGTGATGTCAATTCGGACAACTTTCGGATTTTCAAGCTTTTGAGCATTTGGCCAAGATGTACCTATTCTAGGTATTGAATCTTTTTCATGCAAAAAAGGGAGGAAGGCTTACGGTTTCCAAAGGCTGCAATTGCGTTTCTAAATAAGTAAGATTAGCTCTTGGGAAAGCTTTGAAAAGTCCGAAGTGATGGTGTGGTGAAAACAAAAATGAGCTCGATAAATAAAAACTTTTGCATTTTGATGATTAATGCGGTTTTTCATTTGCCTCAGATCTTGAAAGAAGTTTGTTGGCGTAAAAGTAGTCAATCAAACAAAGTGCTACAACATGAAGTGAAATCCAAAGAAAAAAGGTGGTTCTCCTAGGAAAATATCTCATATGCTTATACTGTACGATACCCAAATTACATTAAAATGGTCACGATTGGACTAATCTGCTGTCAGGTCACTCCGCAGAGGGTTTCTGTGACTTATCACTTTCCGCTAAAATGGAAAACATAGTCATCTCAACCTATATTTTTTAAATGAAGTGGAATTTTGAGACCGGTCAACTGGAACTCAGCATAAAGTGGGAGTGGCTCACATGATATACGCACAGATGACCGAAATTGACAATAAACACAATTGTAAATTAATTTTTGAATAACATGCCACAATTTACCTTATTTTCACAATTAGTTAATGGCTCGCCATCTGTTTCGATTAAGAGAGTCTAAGAGTTTTACAAACGCGCCAATTTTGCACAGTTGCTCGAAATGAAAAACCGAATTAAAAAGGAAAATGGGCCATACAATGAACGCACAGTTACTCGAAAAAAAAATAATGTTGTAACCATAACATTTCGGGCGAGTTCCAGTTTTTAAATAGTACTCAGTACTTTAAACAGACATAATTTAATTTCGTTGAAGTGTGACAGAAATACGCAAGATGCCAAATCAATTTCATGTTAAACGGAATATTACTCGAATTTAGAATTAAATTATAATAATATTATACAATTAATGTAATTAATTTTTGAATGCCTCATGTACTGTCCGCGCTGGGTCGCACTGCCTACAAGAACGACCAATTTTTCATGCCACCGCTTGTTCGCTGGGCTCTATGAGAAACTGGACGAAGCACATTCCCCGAGGATCGACGGCTAGCCTCGCC